AGCAACGGGAAACTGCTCCTGCGTCATCTTTTTTTTTTTTCTTTTTTTTTTTTTTTTTGGGAAGTTGTCACTTTATATTTCAAAACAGAAATGGTCGAGGCCGGGGACCTCACAATTCTACCCGGTGTTGACGAAGAAAACCTGCTGGAAACCGGGTCCAGCGTCCCACGACCACACAGCCTCCATAAGAAGAGAAACTCCTCAAAAAGCCTTGAAGCACAGAAAAGGTGGCTGAACTAATCATAACGAAATTCTCCAATCCTTCAGCCTATAACGTTGATATCCTTGCAGCACAGAGGAAGTACAACGCCGGCATGTTTCTAAACTCGAAACACTATTGGCAAAAACTACGAGTTATCATCTGCAAATCTCGAACATACGCAAGGCAATACACAAGGATTTTACAGTTTTAACCCTAATATTATTCCAAAGACCAACTAAATGATCCAAACTTTCAACCCAGCACACCCAAACTTCAAACTAAACGTAGTAGTATTATGTCAGAGCCAACTCTCCAGCGTATTTCTACAATTCGAAACACTAGAGGAGGCAACGGAACAAAACACTATAAACAACTAATCTAGCCTATAAGGCTTAAGAAGATTAACAAAATTGACAAACGAATTATAAGGCACCCAAGATTACAGCAAGATGCATACAGATCTCAATTTCTAATTGAATTATTCCGATCACTAAGCCCGGACAAGCAAAACAAACCCCCAAATTAACCCTAAACTATCCACAGGGTATTCATGAGACATCTTCCACGTCACTAAACACTGACCCCGAAGAGCCTGAGCTGCCATGACGGGGTTCCCACCACGCACCCTTGGGTCTCAATGGGTAAACGACCTCAATGGGTACACCTCAAGTATGCTCCCCCTTGTCTCCCCTACTACTATCTAACCAGGAGCGTTCCCACTGTCGCCTCTCACACTCTCACTGTTTCGGCAACACCGCTGCTAGTATTTACACCTCAAGTATGCTCCCCCTTGTCTCCCCTACTACCATCTAACCAGGAGCGTTCCCACTGTCGCCTCTCACACTCACTGTTTCGGCAACACCGCTGCTAGTATTACCCAAAATGCCGTCCATGCCCATCCTATGGTATTTACTCAAACCCCTAAGCACATACAACTCTAAACTAGACGTGGTAAAATTATCACTATAGAATATGTCATCCGAGGAGACCAACGATTAAAAACAACCAATCCAGATTCCAAAATATATCAAACTACGAAAGGAAAATTCTCGATAGCTAAAAGCTGGGAAAAGGAAATAGTCATCAGGGTTACCCTCTCAGCCTTACTTTCCAAAAAGCTGTAAAGAGCCTTTGTTGCCTAGGCGGGTTTCCCACCACGCACCCAATGGATACAACTCTAGTTTGCTCTTCACCGGGTCTCTCATATCATCCCTACCCTGTGAGAGTCGTCCCAGCCTACTACAGACATATCCCAGCACTTCAGAATACCGAGAATCTATGACGTGTTTAACTCATCACCTTCGGGAAACATTCCCACCGCCACAAGTGAGACTCCCACTCCTGCTAATGGCGCCGCCACCCATCAGGCTTCAAGTGATTCCAACCGTCACCATTCCAAAAATAACAGAATAACACACATAAGATCTACACAATATGAAACTAGACAGGCAATCTTTCAAAACAGAATTGGGAAAGAAATAAACATTAGGGTTACCCTCACAACCTCACTATCAAAAACGCTGTAAAGAGCCTTTGTTGCCTAGACGGGTTTCCCACCACGTACCCAATGGATACAACGCTAGTTTGCTCTTCATCTGGTCTCTCATACCCTCCAACCCTGTGCGGAGTTCCCTGACCGATACAAAGACAGTTATGCATAAAAACACCATACCACCACAAGCAATAAACGAAAACACCACCCAACTAACTTGAACGATAAAGGTAAAGAAAAATTCCCAAGATGACTATAGGTCAAGCCCCAACAGACAAGTCCATCAATCATAGGTCTTCAAACTACACCATAACCTAGGAACGGAAACTAAACAACCATAACAACCAATTTAAAGAGTAACACCAAACATGAAGTATAAGAAACTCAGACTGCCTTGCACCGTAGATAGGACGACCGAGCCTTGCTATAGCCCTTGGACAAGCCGAAGCGCTGCCACCGCAACCGTACGCTCTCCCACTGCATCCAGATGCGCCGCCTCGCCGTCCATGCTTTCTTCATGACCGAGGCGATCGAAATACCATGTACTGCGTGTCGAACGCCAGGCCTTTAGATATTGAAAAGGAGCCCCCCCTTACGAGCAGAAGGCTTAAGGGGAGGACGGCTCCTCTGGCATCTGGGTGCTATTAAGTATAAAGGTTGGTATAGACTTCAGGTGTAGAGCATGGGACTGCCAGTATGCCATGGCGATGAGTGCAGGGCAATCCCTCCCCACGCAAGGGCAAGGTTACGCCAGGGCACTGTCGCCATAGCTCTCACACAGCTATGGTGCCTGGCAGGGTAGGCGCCACGTGAAGGATCAGCGTCACCACGTCTCGACGTCACAACCTACGCAGCCGCCTCCGACGACCGGGCGCCGCCACCGCCGCTATCGCCGCTGCGTTAGCGCACATTTCGCGCGGCCTCCCTCTGCCACACCAACCATCGGCGCTACTGGTCTCAAACGGTTGTTTTCTGCGTCATCTTTTTAGTTTGAGATGGGCGCAAGAAACGACAAAGTGGCGCCAATGTCATTATTTTGTCTGAGGTTCAAAATGTGCAAGTTTGTTTAGCAGGGGGCTTGAGACTGCTGCGGCTTTATTAGGGCCCTGTTGTCTTTTGGAGAACTGCTAAAATTTTCCGTATTCCAAATGCTAAGTGTGACCCAGCAGCCGTTGCA